ACTAAGACTTGATTCTAATTCATTATTGTTGAATCAGTTGATCCTTCCCACTGAAATAATGTTGTTCTACCAGTGAAGTGATCTTCGTACATAATTTCCAACTTATAGTACAATAAATCAACGTGAATGATAGCCTAAACTTATTCGTATTAATTTTCAGTAAACGCTTAAACGTAAAAGAATTTCTTGTAGGCAAGAAAGGAGTTATCAGATGAAACAGTTAAACGAATTAGCTGAGAAATATATTTTCAAAATGTTTGATGTCATTTTTTAACAAATTAAAACAAAAGAATTTAAATCAAATTATGCATGACCCTAAATAGGGCCTTTAATCGGTTTCTTAACATTTCAAATTTTCCTAAACAATGACATAACTATGATTCCGTAATTGCGCCAAACATGGGACATTGGAATCCATGTAATTGTGGTAGTAAGTCGCAAGCACATAACAAATGAAATACTGCACTACAGTGACAAAAAATCCAAGTGCTTTCATCAGCAGTTTGACTGAGTGGCTGAGCAAAATTGCAGATATCACACAGTCTCTTGTCGTAGACATCTTCATCAATATCGTTGTCTCGGTCACTGAATTTTTCTGAGTTTATAGAAACAATTTCATCTTCATCATTACTTAACGTAGGTAGTTGGTACTTGTCGTCTGTTGGATCAACGACATTGTAACATCTATAGAAGTAGAGGCTTCCATCTGAAGCTCAGTTGCTGTAGCTATATTTGAAATGAATTAATTGAAATTGTATTAGAAATTTATGAGCTGTATAGTGTGTCATATTCAGCGTATTACAGTGATTAAACTGTATTGATGAGTTTGGAAGATTTGCCAGCCAACCAGAAAGCAGTATTTAGTTACGGAACTCTTAATAATATACAGTAATAAAATAACGACGTATGGACAGTTTTGACATCAATCATGAGCCCCTACTGTTAATTTATTATAGCAGACAAAAATATCTTAAGGTTACATATTAGAAGTTTGATTAGTGCTACGATTTAAAGTTAGGAGTTAGAGTTAAGAATAAGGGTTAAAGTTGAGCTTCGAGAGCGTTACGATTAAGAGCGTTGGAGCGAGGAGTGCTAAGGTTACGAGTTTTGATTTCTCAGTGTAGATAGAGTGGTACAGTAAATCTTGTTCGTAAAACCACTGATTTCGGCTTGACTCACATAAAGTTCTCTCAAATATAATTTTGATGACGAATGTGTTTTGTTGTAATTTAGCTTACTCGCTGTGTCACATTCTCTGTATGGCTGCATAAAAGACATCTATCAGTTTTAAGCATTTTAGGAACTAGACTTAAAATATTTTTACATAGTTTTTATCAAGATACTTGCTATCCCTCACTGCACTCCGAATTTCGAGCAGAAGTTCACGAAGAAGTGTCCCAAGGTTGACTGGTTCACTGAAAGTCATCCATATAATCAGTTTTGCTATAGTTACTAACCGATAAAACTGGACCAGGTTCTTACCATGTTACAAGCTGGTTAAAGTAAACAATGTAGATGATTGTACTGCATTTCAATATCTTGAACATTGTATATTCATTTAAAGATTAAAATTATTCGGTTGAGTTCCAAGTGAGGTTGCTGTTGCCCAGTCTTGATGATTCTCAAATAAAAACTTCATTGCCATATAGTTTTCAGTGTTTCTTCAGTTGGTTTCGATCTGTAATAAAAGATAATCACTAATATATGGTTATTTTTTATTAATTCTACTTCGTATTCGGCCGTGTTTCCTTATTTCTTTTGAATTGTCATTGACTACACACAATATATGGAGAAGTTAAGGTATTTCATAATAATCATTTTGTCGTGTTAGTAACAATTTGTTACTTGATAAATAATTCATAAGTGCTTATTGCTTTTATTAGGTATTTTATTTCATTAGCAGTAATTCAGTTAGATGGTTAGTTTTCCAATCTGTTGACATATATTTTTATATTTATGTTTGTCAAAACAACACTATTGTATCATTCACCATAAGAATGTTGACTAATGTAGAAAAAAAAATTAGACGTGATTGTAAGAATGTGTGCGGAGATCGATATGATAATTCAATAAACCTTTGAATAAAGTTTCATACCATTTTAGTCTGTAGTATTTAAGGTCTTAGACATTTATTTGTACTGATACATTAACCAGAAATAAATATTTATTTTCATTAAATACGTTTAAAGACTTGAAGATGAAATAATCGATTGAATAGGTTGCATTTTTGAGATAACTATGCATTGATCATTGATGAACAAAACTTGGCTCATTTATTTCATATAAGTCTTTTCGAAGTAAGTCAGTCATAAGCAGAGTAGAACCTGTCATATTTGCATTAATAACGCGGTTTGTGCTACTGAAGTCGACGGATATACGTAATATGTATCATCAATCCAAAGTAAAATGTCTGGCGGCAGAAGGTTAAGAAGTTCAAAGAAAAGAGAACGAGAACAGAGAATGATTTCTGTGGAAATGAAGGAACAGTGAAATCTGAGACGATTGTTTGATATTCTGCGAATGAAGTACTTACTGTATGGATCTCAGATTTTACTAAGTGATTCTGTAATTTCGTCTTCAAACACATTTGTTTGTCTCCACTTGTGTTCTCGTTCATTACAGTGGTAGTAAGAAAGATTAAGTATAAACAATATGATTCGAGAAAAAAGAATAAATTCTTGGAGTGTAAAGTATAAGATAATTTTAAAACGTAGTATTTACGGGTCAACAATAGGTGAATGCATCATTACCATGGCGACTGATTTTCACACATTTTCAACTACTGTGTACGGTAATCTTTTGAAGTACTTACTGGTCATTTAATTTGAAATCTTTTTTAAAAATATCATTAAAAGAATACTATGTATGCCTTTATTCATTCATCTTTAAAATATACATTTTGGAAAGAGATTGATAAATCGAAGTGTTTAATATAACTAAGAAATATGTGTATTAGAGTTTCAGTCTAAAATAATTTTGCTCGAAAAATTAAGGTAAGCTAAAGGAATCTTGGATTGTCTTCTTTTTTCAGATTGAACATTTAACCATCATCCTTCTATTTCGTTTATAATCAAACTGAAAACAGCTTAGATCTTCTTATCCCCATATTAGTATTAGACTAAAAAGGTTAGTATTCATTCGTATACATTGGTCTAATTTATTAGAACTGTCTTTGTATTTAACGAAGTTCTCCAGTTAGATCTTAAGATTGGTTATATATGAATTAAACAAAATCTTAGGTAAATCGAAATAAAAATATAGTCTACTGTTTCTCAGTGGTTCGCCAATTAATGTTGGTTAATGCTTTAACGCTGTTTGAATATTGTCGATTGATCAAATGAATAAAATAAGACTAGAAAATAATTTACACAACACACTAACTAAAACCAGTTCATAATATAGACAAAGAAATCTGCAGAAAGCCCTTACTCTAATAATATTATAAATCACTTGCTCACTAGTGACTAACCTCAGGAGTTAATTTCATCAGTTGTGGTGAGAATCAGTAACCAGTGTAGTTAAATCGTGTCGTGTGTGAGGTAACGATTGTAATAGGAGATAGTTGTCCAATACAGTGAAATCATTGAAGTTGGAAATATGAACTATTGGATGCTAACTAACTAGTCTAAAAACTAAGTCCTCGCTATGAGACATGAATGTCATGGATTCGATCTCAAATGCGGTCATTGGTAGACGAATCTGAAGAGTCCCAACCTAGGATGAAACGACTGTCCAATGCCTCGTCCTTATTAAATGATTGTCTAGCTAAGGTCAGTTCGTATTGTACACCATAAAGTTCGGCTATCTACACAAACCTCTTACATTAAAATTGAAACTAGCTAGGTGATTATTAGGCACTAGTGACCACCAAATAATTAGTTCGTTTCAATTTCGAACGCCTCATCGGTGGGCATCCACGATGTCATATGAGGCCAAACCTAACGCTTTCAAGTCTCATAACTAGAGAACAGTTAAACTACAAATTTGGAGTTCATGTTTCTAACATTAGCCCGTTCACTTTACCCATTAATTTGCGTCGAAAAAAACAAGGTTTTATTTTTGACAAGTTTTTCTAATGCTTTCCTATTATTTAATATGATATTTAGCCTAATAGGAATTGATATTTATGTACTTGAATGATAGTTGGAAGTAATTTGATTCTAACCAATTTTTTTTAAAAACATACATGTTAATTTTATATAAGTATGCAATCTAACTGAGCCGTTTTACACTAACTGTTGTCATGATTCGATTCGACAGTTTCACAACTTAATAGCTGAATTCACGAGTCAATTAAAGCTAGTCCACCATCGGGAACCTGGGACGGCCTTTTCGTCTTAGTATGGGACTTCTCGGCAGTGTGCACCCACGATCCCGCCTCGCGAGACTCAGACCCAGGACCTATCGGTCTCATGCGCGGACGCCAGAACTCTAAACCACTGAGCTGGCATCCAACGGTACTAGTGTCAATCTCAACTTCACAACTATCATGTGTTCAGGTCAAACCAAACAGTCAAATAAAAAAATATAATTTATATTCAATGAAATGAACAAATTTATAAATTATTTTGAATGCAACTAATAATAGAACAGGGAAATCTTTGACTAACCAGTTATTTTCAGCATAGAATATCAGGCTAAATCTGACCGGCATGTCATATTTGACTGTTTGCTTTATTGAATAATTTCTTCTTAAAAAAAATTTTATATCTCCCAATACTAATCCAGTTATCTGGATAATGTTGATTAGTCACGGCTGACTTTTTCAGTAATTCTTATATTTGTCTAGATAAAAAGTAAAATATGTATATAAGATACCTTTGTATGTATTGTATGCCAAACGATTGGCCGTTTTCATTCAATTCTTACCAAGTGCACAGAAAATTTTTGTATGAACGTAAATCTTATTGGTTAATACATTGTGCAAAAAATCAATAATTTTTCCCTGTAATAGGCTAGAACCCAAATACTGTATGAAAAAAAGAGATTACTTCTACTTCAGGTAGATTTTTAAAAGAAATTTGTTCTATCCAAACAAAACCCTATCATTAAAACTTTCTAGCAGTACATATATATACATATATATATGAGCAAGAAAACTCATCGTCATCATCAAAATACGGAGAGACCTACCTTTCAAAAATTATTAACTAAAGGTAAATCTCATAAATCCAATTCAAATATAAATACAATTCAACATTCAAATAATTCTGAAGTAAATCAAAAATATTCCGAACAGAAAAAAGTTCAAGTCATCTCTCAAAGATTTCATTATATCATGAATAAAAGGTTTCTATTATCTTGTTCATTAATATCATTCCTTTATTTATGTATTGTATTAATAAAATCTACAATGTTTGAAGATAAATTCAATTATAATGAAAACGGTAACAATGAAACATTACCAAATTCTTTATATGTAACATTGAATGCTAACAAAGAGATCCATAATCAAGATTTCAATCATGAATTAAATGATGAATATGATTTACGTCAGAAAATATCTTTATTGAATAATCCAAATTATTTAATGCCAACATTATGTATTGGTGTATTAGTTCGTAACAAAGCTCATACATTACCATATTTTTTAAATGGTATAGAAAATCAACAATATCCAACTAAACGTATTACATTAATCTTTTATGTTGACAATACAATTGATTCAAGTGAGATCATATTAAATGAATGGATTCAATGTAACAAAGATAAATATCATAATATAATTTTTGAAGGTAAAGATCATAATATAACTAAGTTAGAGTATGAAAATTTGAGTAAAATGTGGACTCAAGATCATTATTTACATGTTATAAATTTACGTCAGAAATTATTAGATGAAGCACGTAATATCTGGGCTGATTTTTATTTATCTATTGACGCTGATGTAATTCTTATGAATCCATTGACTATTAAACATTTAATAAATGTTATGCTTGATTCAACAGTATCTACATCTAACTCTAATTTAGATCATAAAACTAATGAAAATATAATTATTTTGGCACCATTGATGAATTGTACCTCATCTGAACATTATTCCAACTTTTGGGGTGCTATGTCTGAAGAAGGTTACTACCTACGTTCAGAGCATTATTTTGATATACAAAAACGTCGTATACAAGGTGTATATCCTGTGGCAATGGTACATTCGATATTTTTAATTAATTTACAGTTTTATCAATCTGAACAAATTGGTTATTCTCCTGCACCAATAAATTATACAGGACCAATTGACGATATTATAATATTTTCTAGATCAGTACAACGTGCAGAAATTGATTTTTATTTAGATAATACACAATTTTATGGATATATTCCATCACCGGTTGAAGAACAAGATCTTGGATTATATTCAAAAGATTTAAATAATGCATGGCTTTTGCGTGAACAAGATCTGTTTGTTCATCTACGTTTACAAGCAATTATTGATCAAGAGGATAAACAAAGAGTTATACCTTCAGAATGTTTATTAAATATTGCTGAAAATCAATTACCTAAGTCAAATAAATTAAATTTTGATGAGATTTATTTTATTAATTTATTGAGACGACCTGATCGTCGACAAAAAATGGAATATATGCTTCATCAATTAGGTATAAATGCTAAACATTATGCAGCTATTGATGGAAAAGATTTAACTATGAAATATTTTGATGAATTAGGAATTAAACAACTTCCGGGTTATACAGATCCTTACCACAATCGGTCGTTGAAATTTGGAGAAATTGGTTGCTTTTTAAGTCATTATAATATATGGATTGTATGTTGAATTTTGTAAACTTTTGTAATTAATTTAGTTAATAATTTAAAATAACCACTTCATGTCATTTTACATGATAAGTATATTTATTGTACCAGACTAGGGAATACACTATAAATTTATATACTTTAAACTATAGCTTTAGTGATTAAATCGTTTCATTTTTTTATTTAACCACATGAATATTGGTGCAAGAGGGCATCTCACTTCGTCATTTGATTTGTGTGAACGCTGGAATACTACCCTGATGCCCAAACAAAAGCAGGTGGTTTTCTTAGGGGGGCACTCCCGGATATATTGACCTAAAGGTCTAATCCACAAGTCAGTGGGGCAACGTAGGGAGATGCAGTTCCATGGTAGCCGGTGATCAACAATAAGTTCATACGCAACTTGTTTCCTTAGGATCCTGGAGTCCATGTACACCACTGGCTGGGAATCAGGGTTTTCTAACTCCTCTAGGTGGGTCCCCCGTGTCCGTCAACCCGGTCAAAGCACCGGACATGCGCATTTCGTCCTCTCATTTTCGCAAAGAACACCCCCGCCGTGAGAAGGCAATGAATAGGACTAACCTGACAGTGGTTGTATACGCGTGACTATATGAGAGCATTTCGATAGGGAGAGCTGACTCTCCCCACCTTTGGCCATACCATAGCATTCATGGGCTATTTAAACATAGAAATCGTAAACATTTCTTATTCAAAATTATTTGTAAAAATCTCATAGAAGCTGAGAAATGTTCAATATACATATTGTCGATAAGTGTTCTAACTAAATTTCACAAAATGATGTATTTGTGCACTTTCTCATTCTGATCAGTCTGATTTCTAAACCATTACTAACTTTGAAGCTTCTTCTAGAAGCTAACATAAATCAAAAGTCATTAGTTGATTTAATAAGTAACTTTTGGTTTATTTATCTCAACAACCTTTGATTTTTCGGCCAGCCTAAAGAATTTCTTTTTTTTTCAAGTGTGTAGTTCCTGATGTAGTGGGAGTTTTGAAGTGGATTAGCAAGTCGATAAACCATATTTTCGGAACTGAAACAAACTAATGATTATTGTCTCAACTTTAAATGTACTGAAATTATAAACTTGGGTTATCTCGGTTCAATTTTCTTTAAAATAAAATGTTAATTTCCTAGTACAGAACATATGAAACAACATATCTTTGATGGATAATGTTTTGTGAAGCATTTATATTTCACTTACTTACTTATACAAATTTATATATATCACTTAATATGTCGTAATTCCAATGTACATGTACCATTTGGTGTTAAAGAATAGATAAGCAGAGGAATATGTTCAGTGATCGATAACATATGATGCAAGGTAACAGAGTTTATTAATAAGGTCATCTGAAAATAAACTAAACCGAAGTAAATTTCACATATACATTGTTAATATTTATGCTCTTCAGTTGTGTAAGACCTTAGAATTATTTATTAATAAATTATGAATATACTCACTAGTGACTAGCTTCAAAATGGATTTCCTGGACTTCTGGTGAGAACCAGTGACCTATGGAGTTCAATCGCATCGGGTGTGAGGTAGTTAACCCACCAAAATGTATATTATACTATCATTTGTTATAGTTTGATTAAGAATCATTCTGGTCAATATTATCAATGCTCGTTTCACATGGAAGTGAACTGACAACCTAATTATTCAGCCATGTACTTAATATCACTAACAGAATCTGTCCGAACTAATCAAGTTTCTTGATTATTTCAAAACATGAAATTTCTTAAATTTATTCGTAAACTATTAGTATTTTTGAGGTTCAGTCAATTTATATTTGAATTGTTTTTTTTAAAATTTATTTCTAGGAAATGATCAACAATGGTTATAATCGTATATTAGTTCTTGAAGATGATCTACGTTTTGCTCCTGCTTTTGTTCGTAATTTAAATAAAGTTATTAAAGAAGCAGATGAAAATGTTGCTAATTGGGATCTACTCTATATTGGTCGTAAAAGAATGTCAAAATCAGAGAAACGTGTACCGAATACAACTAGTTTAACTTATCCTGATTATACTTATTGGACACTTGGTTATATTTTAAATAGAAATGGTGCAGAAAAATTATTAAAACAAAAACCATTACAAAAATTAATTGCTATTGATGAATATCTTCCAGTTATGTTTAATAAACATCCTAGAAAAGATTGGTTAGTTCAATTTGAACCACGAAATTTAATTGCTTTATCTGCTGAACCATTATTAGTTGAACCACAAAGGTATACAGGTGAAAAACTTTATGTATCTGATACAGAAGACTCTGAAATTTTCCATAGTAATTAAATAATATTTAATGATTCTTATTAAAGTATAGAATAATGAAATGATATTGTATATTTTCCTTCGAATTTGTACATTCCTTAGTAGGATTTATTTCATTTTTGTTTTAAAAAAATAATAAACACTGTCCATTGAAAAAGACAATTTATGTTACAGATGGATATAAAAAAAGGAAAAATATTTGAGCGAACAATTGTTTTCATTAACTTCCTCATCAGGCTCTACAGTTATAAGTCCATAATTATAATATTTTACAAAGCCGAAGCCATCTGGATCAACTCCAGAAAACCAAATTTATGTATCCAGAAAAAAATATATCCAACCTCTTTGTTTACCTTGGCCTACGACTGGATCACCGAATACCTAGACTGAATATTATAAACCTCTTAACCCCTTCCTTTAGTTTTATTTATTTAATTTTTTTCCTTATTATCATTATTTTTGATTATCTCTATCTTAATTTTCACATTCATCATTCCCAATTCGTTTATCGTAATTACCTTGATAACACCATTCACACAATAATCTTATTATTATTATTTCAATTGACAAGATGAAATTCTCCTACTGTGCATTTTATTCACAAATTTTTTTGAATTTGCATTTTTGCTATAATACTGTTCTACTGATAGTGACTGGACACTACTCCAAATCATCCTGACCTTTATTGAATGACCTTTCTAATCTGCAAATATTACAATTTTTGAAGTATATATATATCGTAACAGATGCAAACGTTGACCTTTTTTTAACACATAACATTGTCAAATTCATTGATATATGCCTTAATTTTGGCCTTTGTAAAATATTATAATTATGGACTTATAACTGTAGAGCCTAATGATGAAGTTATTGAAAACAATTGTTCGCTCAAATATTCTTCATTTTTGAATATTCTATGGAGATTTTTAAACAGATGGATATAAGTTTAAAAATAATTGCATCTTGCTTAAAGTTGTTCTAATATTTCAGTAAAATTCATGGTGTCAAGAAGAGAATATTAGTTTTTTTTATTTCGCTGGTAATTTTACAGGGGATTATAAAAGGGGAATTCCTTTATTGCAAAATATACTTGCATTAACTTATTAACTATACTTTTTAAGAAAGTGAGAACAAAGAATTGAGATGAATGACATGAATTCATTTTATTTCAATAGGTTCATATCAACTGCTTACAGATTTTAACAGTGAAATTAATTAAATATGGTTATTCATCATATTGATGGAGTGGTGATTTGAATAATTGTAATGAGATTGAAGAAATATTTTTTAAGTAGGTGAACTATTTTATTTAGCAGTATAAGGTTAAGAAGATTGTTGAACCGAACAATGTTAGATCACCATTGAAAACCTTGAAACACTAGGCGGCCGTTTCGTCCTAGTATGGGATTCCTCAACAATCTCGTATGAGAGTCTCCAACTCAGTACCTTCGATCTCGCGCCCGACCATTGAGTCGGCATTGAACGATGTTATTGTTTAACTTCAACCAATCTACGATATTGCACAACCGTCTATCATTGTCTTCAGTGAATAACTGCCTCACACCAGGCGCGGTTGAATTCCATTGGTCATGGGTTCTCACTGGAACTCGGAGAATCTCATCATCATGAGCCAGTAATTCTTGCGGTAGTGGGCGCATGACATTTACCAGTATGGAGTTTGTTTTATTTAGTCTGAGAATATTACTGAATTGTGACTAACAGTAGAACAAAAGATGAGCATTTCTTCTTATTTAAAACCAATCAGTAGGATGGACCAAAATCAAAGTTTTTACGTTCATACCGAGCATCAGACTCAGTATCTTTCGCTTTCAACACAGAAAGCGTTATCCACTGCATTATTGAAGACAAATAGTGCATAAATTGTTCAACTAGTTTCAATATAATTTTAAAAAGTTTATAATTTTTGATGTTCAAAAATTTATTTTATCGCTCTCTTTTGAGATATGTACATCCTGAAGAAATAACTACAATCTAAATGTTTTCATTGAAAAGAAAGTTTATTTAGTGAATGTTAACGTTGATCCTATATGAATGATCTACTCACAAACTATATTTGTTCTATCAAGTAATCAAAAACAATGTCAGTATCATTCAAAGCTATTCCAATGGTCAAATAAGATCACAGGATAGACAGACATCATCCTCCATTGCGAAGCATTTGATTGAGACGGATCATAAGGTTGACATCAAATCAGCATTTGTAGTGTTATACAAAAGCTCTCAAAGACGTATACTAAGGTTTATTGAAGCCTTGGCTATATGGAAATTGAAACTCTCTTTATGTGTTCAAAAACAATAGTGATTTATTATCCAGAGTGGTAATCACATTTGTTTTTGTGTATTCTATTATTTTTCATTTCTTATGACCTACCCTTAACCTATCTAGTTGAGCTTTTAATTCTCATATATAAATGTGCTTAACAAGTATATATGTATTTCAGATTGCTCGAAACGTATTGCGCAAATATATCATATAATTCTGATAAACTTCTTCTTCTCATTGCATTATCGCTATTTTAATGAAATAATAAACATATCGAAAAGTTCACAGTTAACATGATAAATCAATATGCACAATTTCAATATGTCTATCTCTATTCATTGATCTATTCATAATTATACAGATAATGAATAATTGACGAAATATATTATCAAACCCATTAATTAAGCGTTCGCGCGCGAGACTGAGGACCCTGGGTTCGAATCCCGCGAGTGGGATCGTGGATGCGCACTGATGAGGAGTCTCATGATAGAACGAAACGGCCGTCCAGTGCTTCCAGGTTTTCAATGGTGGTCTAACATCAATCGGTTCATGATCTTAATCAATCAATTAGAATTGAATATTGTCAATTAGTTAACATGAACTCTAATTTTTTATCATTTGGTTTGATTATCATAGTTATGAGTTCGCGCGAAAAAAATGTTTTAAATCGTTACTAGTTTAAAAGAATAATCATGTTTCAAATAAATTTCTTTAAATTTAATAAGGGAAAAATGTCATTTGTTTAACTGTTTTGTAAAACAATCCAAACTTTGAAGAAACTTCCATTTTATAACAAAAGTATTTGAAGAAAGCAACTATTTATGTTCAATTTTTTGAATTTCCATTCTTTGAGCAAGATATATAGTTTTCATTGTCTTTCTATGAAGCATCATCAGCATGAGCTCTTGAATGAAATGAGCTATTAGAATTTTCGACAAGTGATAAACACCTTGATAAGAGTTCTAATAATTCACTTTGTTCTGAGGTTCATGGGGATGATGTTACACAGAAAGATAATAAATGTTGCACGATTAAAAGTATGCGGCTTAAACAATTTTGAGACAACTTTCTGGTAAACTTAAAGTATACTAACGAATTAACCACAACCGGTGAAACCTTATCAATATCATAGCCTAAATATCTAACGAAAATGCTGAATATCAGCTGTTTCATATGTAATTTTAATGAATAAAACATCATTTAGTATTTAAAAGGCTATGGACTGCTGAAAGATCACCTATTTGTGAATGGAGGACTGAAACAATTGGGAATAGGTGGGATATTTATCTACATTGTTTTTTGGTTAGGATCGAGGATATGACTCAAGTTGGGATTAAAACAGTTTAAGAGTTTAGAATTAAGATTCAGGCTGGGAGTTAGGCTTAGGATTACGGATAGAAACGAATTGTTTGGTTAGGGGTTGGGATTAGAATTAAGATTAGGCTTTAGGGTATGGATGATGTATCTAAACAAACCTTAATTCCGAAATCTAAGTTTTGATGCTCACTTCTGACTTTAACGCGTGGAAACCTATGATCAAGTTAGAATTGTTCATCAATAATTAGTCAAGATTCTCTTAGTGAATTCTCTCATATTTCGACATAAGTTAACCATGCACTTTCGCTATGTTCTGATTAGCCAAAAAGGGGCATACTTTAGGTGTACCGTTATGCTCTGACTCGTTTAGAAACATTACTAATTTTCATTAGTGGTAATATCTCCTTGGTTTTAATGCTGGCTATAAAACTTACAAAACTTCATCAAAATTCTTTTTTTTAATTCCAAGGTATTTTTAGAACAAAAATCTCCACTTCTTTCTTATTTCTTTGAATCAACACATTTTCAGAGTTTTACTACTTATTAAATAAACACATGGAATCACATAAAATTAGATCAGAGTTATGTATTGAGATGCTCAACTAGTTAGCAGTGATTGATCAAGGAGTGAAGACAGTAATAACTCGTACATCATATATTTCTGTTGCATATTATACTTTTGGCCTCTGTACTTTGTGATTAAACATCTGATTTGTTCATTGACTGGGATTATTCAGTGTGAGAGTTTCCGGTGATTAAATCAACGCCAGTCAGTCAGTACAACGTAGAACTTCGTACGTACGTACATCAGTTCGAATCGCCAAACCACATTAGCACAGAGATGCAGTTGTCGATTCAAATCCTGTAGTGGTAGAGGTAGTAAGAGTATAAGCAGTAATCGGAAACATTAGGGTTTGAAGATGTTATTCAAGGTGTATAATCCAGTAAAATAAACTTGGAAAGAGAAAATAAAGAGACAAGGACGATTTAGGAGTTAGAATTTAGGAGAACACAAAGAGTGGATGCACCTGCGCCATTGCAAACGATTTCGAGCCATGTCATTCAAGGTCTCTAACCATCGGTTGCTATCATCTCTCGGTCCTCAACCACGTAGTCTACACCTACCAACATGGCTCAGTCCACTTGTCAGTGACTTCATGGACGCCAACATTATAACATATACATAAAATAATAATGTAGTAAGTTTCTCTACTATATCACTACATTTCCATTTGTTCTATGTTCACTAACACAAAGGTCAATTAATCTGTCACTTCTATTCATATACTCATTACTTAGCTATAATCAATATATTTTTCTCAATACTTAGTCTGTAGGTCTAAATATTTATGAAATTCCAGAAAAAATTTTTCCATCAAGTATCGAATCGAAAAGTCACATTAAATACCATTGATTAATATTATCAATGTTAGTTACATTTAGTTCTTCATACTCTACATACATGCATATTTGTTAAAGAATATTAACATAAATGTATGATCTCGGCATTGATTTACTCCATTAACCTTAATTATAATTATGAATTCATAGAATTAACATATGAATTTGATAGAGAAGATTTATTTAATAATTCATTTGTTTACAATAATTTTAATGATGTTTACTTATTTCTCTTTTTGTAACCAAAAACATTCATTATTTCTTTTCCATTTGAATGTACCATCTTCATAAATCTCCTATTTAATTAACAACGAAAAGATAGAAATAATTTTATAGTTATTTTATAGAATTTAGTTTACCTTTTTCCAAATTGGTAATTGTGATTTAATTGATTCAATTAAATATTTCACAGCATCAAGACTATCTTTACGATGTGGTGAACTGACAGCTATTGCTACACTGATTTCTCCTACAGGAACAATTCTAAATAAAGTGAATATGAGAATAGTACAACAGTATAGTTAAGATGTATAATGCTTATAATCAGAGTTAGAAAACTCTTATTTAATCAGAGAAATGAATGTCAACCTCTACTGTATTGTAGTGAATGAAAACTTAATGGGGAGAACCAATTTGTTGTTCAGTGTAAAATTACAGAGTGCTTTCATTAAACATGAAGACCGTACCTTAAATACATCATTTGCATATCTTACATCAATTGTCCTTTACGTGCTTCCCGCCATTGTCAATTCTGTTGTTATTACAATTACTATTCGTTTTTCTTTCCGTCCACTTCAATTGAATCTTCTTAATCTTCCATTAGCAGTCATTTCATTTTGATTGATATTACATACTACTTATATCTGTTAACATAAGTAGCATACACTACAGTATGACATGGTCAGTTTTATTCCAAATATTCACGTCAAAACCATTTATTCACCCACAGTGTGTAAAACAGAAACTAGAACTCTATTAATAGCCATTTCATAAATTCTGGCTAGCAGTCGAAATCAGAATTGGTGTTTCGTCCTATTTAGGGATTTGTTACCTTGATGCACCTGCATCCTAGTGTTGATATTCAATTCAGAACTATAACTTAGTACTTTTCACTTCAAACTGGTCAAAACTGAGTCAAAAATATTGAAGATGAAATAACTTTAACTCATACTAAAAATGATATCAATATAATATATTTTGAATACGTTTGTGCCTACCTCAATTTACTAGCTCAACGGATAATGCATTGAGAGTTTAATGCGAAAGGGATTGGATTTGGGTCTTAGTGTAAACACTAATGCAAGTAAATTTATGTATGATGTAAAACGACTAACCTGTTACTGAAAATGATTATACTAGTTATAATTCATTTTAATAAAATTGAGGATGATATTTTATTGAACAGAAAATATATGTTGCTTTCTCATATTGATTAACTGCTTTATAGAGATAAATGACCAAATTAATATGATATGTGTAATACATGCTGTACAAGGTCTAATATTATTCTTTCATGTCTGATTCTTTAAACAAACAACTGTGTATTGAGTATATTTTCTTTAAATGAGGTCATTTATACTACTAAATAGTTTAACTGAAATTTCATTTGTACACAAGTTTCAAAATGTTAATTATCAACTTAAATAAAGAAATAACGAATATCATAGTAAGATAACATGAATTCATTTATAAATAAATAATATATATTCGTAATATCTCAATGAGTAGAAAAATTAGATTTTCTGAAGAAGTGGCTTACACTAAGTCACGAAACGTCAGAAAATCTAATTTTTCTATTCATTGAGAATTCATTTATTTCGTAGATTCACTTCAACTTTTTATAACTTAAAACCATAATATCAATGAATAAAACAAATGTACATATCTGTCAGCAGAATTGTCTAGAACAGATTGAGTTCAAATGTGGAGATAGAATAATATTAAGTAACTGTAATACCAAAGGAAATAGAATTATTTAAATGTTCATTCATTTATAGGTTAAATGTATAAATATTCTAGGACAGTATGGAAATTTAAAAAAATGTATTTACTTCTCGAAACAGAAGATAAATTATGCAATAGAGACTAGTTGCATCAAGCTCAGAAGTAAAGATTAAAATACTAGAATTTCGATTACAGTTTATCGTTTAAAGTTGTAAGCAGCTGAAGAGAATCCACGAAATAAATAAATGAATTCATGTTATTCTGCTAGGATATTTGCTATTTCTTTATTCAAACTTATAAACGGGAAAAGTTGTATGAAATTTGCTAATTATCGGTTAATTGTTATATCCCGATAAGAATTATGAATGGTAATTTTTGCGATCCATTTATGGACCAATATTATTAGTATATTTTTATCGTATAAATGTTACGTAATTAAACTGTTCATATTCATGTCCCTATTATTATAAGCTTTAATTTGACTCATAGACTATTACTATACGATTTACTATTCTTGAGTTATGGCCTGTCTCTTAATTACTATCTCCCTCACTCACAGCCACATCTGGCTAACTCTTGTACAAATGTTGTTTCATATTTTATTGGTACTTTTTGTTCCGTTTGATTGGTGTATAAACCCCGTATGTTTGAAATAAATGATTCACATCGCAGAGGCTGAGATTGGCGTTTTGGACTCAACTGGCAGGGCTAGGCGGAAAGCGAGACCAATCAGCACTCTAGGCTGCTCGCACATGTTCTACGCGTCCTTGATCCGATCGATAATTCGCTGCTCTCTAATTGGCGGTATCGTTGCGATATACAATAAACAGGGCACACAGGCTCATAAGTTATAACATTAATATCACATCATCGTCGCTATAGGAAACAACAGAAAACAAGTTATTTCCTTCATGTACTACATTTTTGCAATGTTTTTGATAGCATTAGGCATTATCATATAGATGCAATATTGGAGCATCTCTTACAACCACTTACTTTCAAGTCAATCATTTAATGCTCTATCATAGTAAAGTTAAGAGTTTGTCATTTGGATATTTCTAATCACAAAACCCCGATATTAAAAGCATGACCAAAATAACGAAAGTCTATTTTGTAGTTACTTTGTAGCAAATGAGATACATGATATGTACAACTTTGTCCTACTTTTGATTAACAAAAGAAACATCTAATCCCTTTCTAATCAAAGTTTGACTTTTTCTTTTTGTCAATGAAAATAATATTCATAACTTTTTAAGACTATTTAATGTTTGGTTCATTCTCATTAAAGCATAATACAGAAAGAAAGAAAGAAAGAAACATACAAACAAAGAAGAAAACAAATCACTTCTTACCCATATCTATGAAGTACAATTATATGTACTAATGATGGCCATAATTGATAAGAATTTTTAATAATTTTTTCCATTTCTAAATAAGTCATTTTCAAATAACATTCATATTTCAATGCTTGTACAATTCTTTCTTGATCATATTTTCTAGTAATCCCTTTGAATTTTGTCAAATGATAATGTTTATCACTTACCGAAAAATGTAGAAACAGCTCCAATCGAAGAATCATTGATTAAATCAAATACATTGGAATATTCAATTGGTTCAATAGATATTTTGATAAAGTATTGAGAATTCTTTACATAAACAATAAATAGTACTTACCATGATATGGTTTTTTTTCTAACCTCCACTAATCGGTGGTAAAATAGCAAGTTCTTCAATCTCTTCAATGGATAGTTGATTTACGCTTGTATTAATATCTGTATACTCCCAATCTATTGCAACGGTTAACGAATCTTTAAGGGGTTCCAATCTGATTAATGAATATCATTTGTTTTGAATTACTTGACTAATTGTTCAATAATGATATCTTTCAATGTTTTGTTAGTACACGATACAGGAAATTGTATTGTAATTTCTTTGCAGCCAACTAATTCACTAGCTTCTCCGAATAATAGAACTTTCTTATTGCATACAGTCATTCAGTTCGCATTCACATACGCTTACAATAATACATAGTACACAATAAATCAACCATATATTTCATTTTACACAATAACTTGTTCTTAAATCAATTTCAACTATGTATTTATTGGTAGGGTGTTAGTTGTCAAATATGTAAATAAATTAATTTGACCAATACCGTTCGAGATTATCTGTATGGTTATCAATGTAATAATTAGTCTGAAGTGAAATAATTCAGAATAGATTAGAAAGGTTATTAGGATTGTAGTTTCTTAAAAACATATTCAAAGTATAAGCAAAGATGAATGGTGGCTAGCAGTGGAATCCAGAATGCTAGTTCCACTCTATATGGGACTCGCCAGCTAGATGTAACTGTATTTCAGAGTTGATATTCACTCTGAAACTCGAACCCAGTATCGTTCGCTTCAAACACCATCGCGTTTGTAAATTAATTTTAACCAAAGAACGAAATAATCAGGTTTCAGATAGCGAACCCTGAAGTTCAGCTAGAAATATATTCACCCATTTGCCTAAATAGTCTCGCATCATAGTTTATGTCAGTTTGTGATGAAAACTATAACTGTAGCTTATATTAGCTGCTAACTTTAGCCCCTAGTTATTATTCACTACAATAATCCATACCCCTATTTTGAGCTGAATAATTGGCTGTAGTTTCTCAAGGTTACTTCTATATTGTTCTAAGGTTCCTTATAAGTATAGTTTCAGCCCTCAATGCTATAGATAATTCAATATTATCGTAATTGGAATAGAAAATGATGCTGTAGATAGAGTCTGTTAAAACATTCAATCAGACAATAAAATATGAAATGATTATTTCATGTAAATTTTCATCTATCGAAGATTTTTGAGCACTTACTAGGGATCGTGTACTCATTTTAGAAGTATGAACTGGTACACTGTCGAATTTAGAGTATATGACATTCAAGGTCAGTGACATTTGGTGAAAATCTGTTTCATAATCAGCATTTTCTAGAACTAATTCGTAACTGTAAGAAAGTGATGAGTTATCAGATAAAGTATTGATTAATATTATGATTTATATTAGTGATACAATTAGTGAGAAAGTATCATCATAAAACCGTCGAATGAGAAATAATGAACTTGTAATATCTTCATTGAATGCAATCTTGGATGTATTCTTAGGGTCTTAAAAATTTTACATATTTGAGTTTTTGTTTGCATGTTTACTGATTAGTTGAGAATTTTCAACACAGTTCTTCCAAAGTTTATTACTTGTCATGTAGCTTCAAGTTTTGTTTGACTGCATGGCTTTATCTGAAATAAATTTTTCACTAAACGTTCGAGTTTGTCTTTCTGATTTTACTTCGTCATGTATACTTGGTCCAGCAATGTAACTGGTTAGAGAAAACGTACAGAATTAGTTAAGAATCTTTAACATTAGGAATGAAATTAAGTTTCTAGAAGCTGCACACTAAAAGTTAGTACATAAAACTTGTGGATAAAAGAATTAAACTAAGTGATAACATTCTAAGATGGAAGAGATTTTCTGATGTGTACTCTATGTAATACTCCACTGTTTCAAAGAAATTTCTACTGAAATATAAAATGATAAGTCTCTTAATGTAGTTTACTTTTCATTTGTGGTCTAATTATCGATCTGCTTTCAAAGTTGGATGAACGTTGGTATTAACGTACTTCTGTGGTTAGGGTAGACTTATCGTCAAATATTGTTTTGAGAAAGGTTAACTCATGAGAACAGGGTTTTGAATGAGGTGTTCGCTGTTCATACACCCAGTAGATAAAGTTGTACACCAGAATCACAGATGAAAGTTGAGCTGATATTGAATTTAATAAACGCGCAGATGCTATAGCTAAGAGCTGACGTGTTGCTTCTGTTGATGAAGCTGCTCAATCTTATATTTTATTGGTCACTTTCAACCTATATACCTAGTGATTTGTCGGGAACATGACTGTGTTCTTATGGCTTTGTCAGAACTTGTTTCGTATAACAGTTACCTACGATTTGCGGTATGATATTCTGTACATCTCCAAATCTTATCAATAATTACTCGCTTTTCGGAAGGTGTAGCTATTTACAACTAAAGCACGGCGCTAGGGTTATTTTTAACGTATTCTAGTTCCATTCCGACGAAGTACAATAAATATGCAACCCGTGACGCAGATCATTGCTTTAATATATATTTACACCAATTTGAATTCTAAAAACATCGATTTCAAAACAAATAGACATTAATTTATTTTACATACAGTCACTTTCATAACAGTCATTTATAATTCAGTGTAATATCTTTACATTTTGCATTGCTTACAACTGGATTCAACATCCAACTAAATCACTTCTAGACGAATTTTTATTTTTTTGTTCTTTCACCTTTATTGATTTGGATCCTCATGACATTCAACGTTGATTTATTGTTTTTGAACAGAGCAAGAAAAACTAGGTTAAGAGGATAAAATTAGCTCACTATTTCATGATTTCCATTAGTTGCATACAATCTAGAATTACAATTCTCCATATACAACATAATGTACATTGGTTTGTGAAGTTTAGATAAATGTTCGAGACTTGAACAAAATCATAATAATAATGAGAATGGGACAGGTGTATGAACAAACATAGTTAAGATCGACGCGTATTTATATATTGGAAAGTAATAATGCAATGTAGAGCGAGTGTCATGGTTGCCAGTAATCATATTTATATAAGGGTAAAGCAATTATTAAGTGATTAGTGTAATCCCTTAACATGACACGAAATAAAATAAATGTGTGTGATTATATGAGAAACTAATATCAGAAGAAAAAGGAAGTCGAAAAGAAAATTATACTTAGCTAATATAATTGTGATATTATGTTGTAACATTAAATTGTCCTTTAACAACTTTCCCTGATTGATATGTACCCTAATTATAGTAAAGCACCTAACGTATGACTGTAAAGTACCGAAATGAGATCGTAAACTGAAGTTAGTGTTTGGGACAATACAAAAAACCTACTCATATATCTGATTAAGTAGTCTAGAGTTTTAAGTTTAATTTGAAAAGGATAACTGAGTTTTGTTTCAAACGTACGCTTGTTTTGAAAAAAAGGTTTATTTAAAAGTTTACCCATTTTTAAGTCGTATCAGCGTCAAGTTGGTAATGTTCCCACCAAATCACACTTGAATAATTGAAGTGACTACAAAATCATCTTTGAGATTTAATGTTTCAGCACATTGGTTGTCCTTCAATATTTCCCTGTTGTTTAATTCTCTTTAAGTTTCTGTCTACTTTTCATACTAATCAGGTTACAAAATAAGGGCAAATTACGCACTTCTGGATGCTATCTGCTAAAGATTGTATGTTACTGTAGACCATAGCTAGTTAACGTAGGGACTGTGTTTAGAAATATGATTTTTTTGATCAACTGTTAAAATATCTGTAAATAACTAGGTTTACTAAATGATCAGTCCCGTATTTTTATTTTAACAGAAGTAGAATTGAGTAAAGAGAAGGTATGGTCAGAAAAACCCGAGAGCATACAATGGTTTTGTTCCTGTTTCTCTGTTATGTTCAATGGTATTTTGCATAGATTACTCAATTTCATCTACCTAATCAAGAGCAATATGTACTCATATCTTCTGAGAATTTTATAACTGTCCAATAGTTGCGATAAAGTATGTATAACTACAAATTCAACCAAAGTATTTCCACTTACTATACACTCAAGAAAACAGCACAATATATTACAAGATTTACATCACAGACTAATCTTAGTTAGACAGCAGAAGAAAACAAGGAAGCTCTGGATAGTTGTTTCGTTCTGGTGAGGGACTCCTCGGCAGCGCATATCTACGATTCTACCTCGGTTGAACCCGAGGCCTCTTGATCTCACGTTGGGCTCAGTGATACAGATGGTTCAGCACTCATCTGCGATGTAAACTTTGAAATTCAACCTCCATACACCCCATATAGTAACAGTATATTGCGTACGCCTCCATATTAAAAGAAAAACGGCGTTAAAAGAATGCAAACACGAATAATCCTATAATTGTCATGTATAATAAAATCTGAGGGTCAGCTGATACATTCTAGCTTGTAGTTATTATATCAGTGAAGTTAAATTCAAAAGTTAAGTAAGAACACACAATTTCAAAACATGAGTCTAAATGATAAAAAAGTCATTTAATTTTAATTATAGGGAGCTTTTCTCAAGCCTTTGTAAATACTTTGTAAAGCTATTAAATTAAATATAAAAATAAATGCCATTCTCGATTATATGATTAATGTTTAAGAGATAAACATTTTATAGACACTTTTTGCACAAGTATTTTTAACTGTACTGTAACAATATTAAAGAGTTAAGGACTTGAGATAAGCATTATTATAAGTTTAGAGTTGATATACACTTTGTATTTGTTTGTGAACAGGAAACATTTTACTCCCAGCAATATCTATGTCGTACCGTACCACATTACACGTGCTTACACGATATCAAAGAAAAGTAAATCAAGGATGTGTAAGAGGGAGTAGTTTTCGTAAACCCCATAGAGTACAAAACTATGGTTTTTCAAACAAAAATTTTATTTATATAAAACAAGAATACCAGACTCATAATTTTATTTTACACACCATGGATCATACGTTCTTTGTTGATTAAATGTGTTGTTTGATTGATCAATGCCATTAAATTTCTAGTATTGTAAGACCAATCATTTAAAACTTCCGTCGGCATTTTTTTGGCTATAAAGTGTACCACTCCTTCAAGTCGATCAATTTTAGCATAAATTGTTTTATTTACCACTAATTTCGACAGATATTCCTCAGTTTTCTAAAGAGAAATACAGACAGTAAACGTATAGCAAAAACAGTATTAATGGAGAAATGATTCGAATAGCCGAAAAATATCAACATTATTCCCTGAAATCGAAGTAGTTGCAATGGATTCCACTGAAGTAAAAAAGTATCTTGGTAGAAGTGCTTTGGAAGGAAAATCAAGAGCACACTATCCAACGAAGATCCCACTTATGCGTACACTCGGAAGATAGGTGAAATATTTGAGTAACCCTAACACTACATTTATTTGTATCACATGAATTGATGATATTGA